CCGCTCGCGGCCGCGGGGGCGAAGCCGGAGCCCCGCGTTCGGCGGGGAGCGCGGGCTGGCCGGCCGTGCACGCACGGTCACACACACCTGGTTCGCGCAGGGGCTGGCGCGGCAGCGTTTAACGCGCTGCCTTCGCCGCAGGGCAGAGGCTGCGCCTGCAGAGGAGCACTGGGGGGATCCGACGGGGCTCCCAGCTGTGCCAGCCTGGCCTCCGGGAGGATAACAACCACTTACATGATCCTTCCGGTCCGACCTCTCTGCTGTTGCTTTCTAGCCTGCCTACCAGAATTTGAGACAGCGCGTTGACAACTTTGTTTCCAATCATTTGGCAACTCATACCTGGAGTCCTCATCTCAACAAGAACCAGCTGAGAAATAACATTAGGCAGCAGGTTCTCAAGTAAGTGGTAGCTCTGGGGTTTCTCTGAACATGCTTGTGTACTGTGATAGGTGACAAAGGCTCTGGGTGAGTGTGAAGTGGGCTGCTTTCTTCAGCGAAGCATCTGAAGAAGTTGGGTTGTTTTCCTATCTCAGTGTTTAAAATGTGTTATTACTTGAGGTAGTAAATTACCGCTAGTATTGGTCAGAATTAGTCTGCAGATGTTCTTTGATCTGGTCCAAGTTTATGTAGGGGTGGAAACCTTTATTTTGACTTGAGATGTAACCCCCCTAAGTAAAGACAACCTTTACTTTTTCTTTTAAGGGAGATACTAATAAAATTGCAATTATTGTGTTTAGAGCGAAGGAGAAGCATTTCACAAACTAAACTCTGCAGAGTATAAAGCTAAAGTCACAAAATAGAAAAAAGAAAATCTAGCTGGACAGAGAAGCAGTTTTAAGAACTGCTGTTATGTTAAAATTATGCCAGACACTTTAACTTGATATTACATTATTTCATGAATGTTCCTCCGGTCTTTTTTCTCAAATCTTAGACTCATAAGAAACATTAGAAAATTTCTTCAAAGTACCATGAGTCTGGCCCTTAAATTGGGTCAAACCATGGATTTGGGAACAAACTTAAACAGTTGTGCTGTAGTAGTATCATTGATAACTTGTACTGAGGACTGTTTGGTTTGTAGGGAGGGGAGCTGTTGTTCTTTCTTGTTAAAGAAGCAATGAGGACAAGAGGTAACATATGTCCCACAAAAGACTAGAGGGGTCTAAGGAGATAAGCTTTATAGCTTTGTTTGGTTTTTTTCTATTTTATTTACTGAAGATTAAGTGCATTCTATAAAGGTGCAGAACTTGCCACCTTATACTCGGCAAAAAGTAGTGCTGTAGTGATGAGTAGTTTAGTAGTTGTTTATGCCTCCTGTCTTCTATAATTCATCTCTTTTTTGCTATGATAATTGTTAATACAAGTTTTCTTCTAAATCTTTTTCCAAAATACGGTTTTTGCACTTAGATAACGCTTGTAAGTGTAACCATTAATGATGTAGCAACAGGCTGCTTATTGTATTAATTCCCTGTGCTTGGATTGTTTTGTTTCTCTAGCACTTTTTCTTATGGGTGATGCACAGGCTAAATGCATAGCTCTGGGAATGCTCAGAAAACATTGGTGCTTCAGTGGAGCACGGATGATCATATTTCATTAAAATGTTTTTGAAAACTAATTTTTCATACTAATTTATGTAACTTTGTTTCAGGTCTGGAATGTTAGAATCGGGAATTGACAGAATTATTTCTCAGGTTGTGGACCCAAAGATCAACCACACATTCAGACCTCAGGTGGAAAAGGCTGTCCATGAATTTTTAGCCACATTGAATCACAAAGAGGAGGCAGGCCCCAGTACGTCTCCAAGTGAGGAGAAAGCAGATGCTTCTGTTACAGTGCAAGGTATTCTACCATTACTCTGAGCAGTCTATTAACAAAAGAATGGGGTTTGAGAGAGCAGAATTATAGACTAGGTTTTCTTCCACCATAACACTGTTAGTATCAGTATTAGCAAGCTGAGGTCCAGGCAGCATGCCTGAACACTTGTCTCTTACTCTATATATAAAGGTAGAAAGCAAAAGAGATGTCATGTTGTTATGACCATGTTAGTCTTTAACTTCTGCTTCAGATTATGAGGGATCAGTTTACTATGGGGAGAAAAATTGGTCTCAGTATTATAGGATCAGATAAGACATAGCTGTAAGAGAAGAATGATGCAACTTGTTTGTCCATCAGTAGAGGCAAAAAAAGTTACTCAAGAGACAGTTACCTGTGCAGTTACTGTGTGCCATAAAATTTGGATGGCTAAGGTCCTATTACCTGTATCAACTTCTAAACCCTCCTGCAAGTAACTGTCCATTCTTTCCTGTTCTAAGAGACTCTACAGCCATCCATCTATTTGTAAACTTTATTTAAGTCCAAGCCTTTTTCCTGTGAGGCCCACTCCCTTTAAAATGGGTTAACAAGCCAGCTGCATTTCTTAGTGCTAGTCCAGTTAACTCTTAGTCATCCATCTTCAGAGCTGGTTCTAAAATGATGGAGAAGTGATAAGGTATTTCTGATAGTCCTGTTGTTATATAGTCAATATGCTGAGTTGATTTGCCATGACATTTATGGAGATACTAGACATGTGAGGACCAGACTTTCTCCTGCAGTGTATAAATATATATCTCTGTATGTATATATTATGTACATACGTTTGATCCAGAGTTGTCACCCTACTTAGGATGTTGGTAAAGTTGAGCGAGGGCTGTGTTCAGATGTCCTTCCCATTGACAATCCTCACTTTCTCTAGGCTGACCTCAGTAAAAGTGGTGTGTCACAGAGCAAAATGAATCTGTAGTAATTATACAGTGCTTGCTGCAGGAATGCAACATCTTGGAGATTTTTGTTCTGTTCTTAACCAAAAATCTCTCAAGGCAAAACTAGTCAAATATTTTAGTTAACTGTACGTATTTTGTAGAGAGTGCTTACTCTGTTTCTTTCGCTTGTTTAACCTTCTGTCTGAACAGAAGTACGGAAACGAGGGTGAAGTAAAACTGTTCTTTTTTACTATTCAAGGTGTCTCTGCTACAACTCCAAGTGCTAACGTAGCTAGTGATGCAATGTCCATTTTGGAAACAATAACTTCTCTTAACCAAGAAGCAAATGCTGCCAGGGCTTCAACAGAGACCTCAAATCCTAAGAACAATGACAAAGTTGCAAAAAAACTCTCATCTCAGCAGAGTGTGGATGGTAGCACTGATAAAGAGAGAAATGCAGAGGACTTAACAGACAGAGAGAAAACAATTTGTGACCTTTCTGGAGAAGGGGCTGAAACACTTGCAAAGTGTGAAGATTTAAATGAGCTTCCCTGCCAAAGTGAAGAAATAAAAAATTCAGCAAAGGATACTAATATTTTGACTTTTACACATAAAGATAGTCAACAGGAAAGTGAAGATGTAAAGAGCAAATTATTGGATAAATCTGACAAGAAACCAGAGATCAGTGAAAGAAGAAAAGACAAGAAGGAAAAGCTTGAAAAGAAGTCTGATCATTCAAAGAAAAGTGATGATACTACAAAGTTAAAAGAAGAAAAACAAGCAAAGGAGTTGGAACCAGTAAAACAGTTAGTTCCAGAAAAAAATAGCAATAAACATAGAACAGCTGAGAGCACTAAAGAAGGTATGGTGTGGGCAATGCCCTTCCTCCAAATATGGATAAGGATTAAGGTTTCTAAGTTTATTCAGGAGTTGAATCAGTATATTTGGAATGTAAGTTTTCTGCTAGTTCTGGCAAACTGATCTGCTAGTGACAATTGGACTTGATCCATCTCTCTTAACTGAGGTACCTGAATTAGGAGTCAGATTACCTTTGATTCCTCTGGTGTGTGATTGGTCATCTTAATCTGGCAAGTTCTCTCAGCAATTTCAGTCCTCATTTAAAGTTTATAGTTCTACCTCAGAGTGATTTTTGTTTTGAATAAACCAGAGTTTGGTTATTTCTTTAGTGTTATAATTTTGTTTTCTTATTTCTAATTCTTTACCTAGTATTGTTATCAATGACAAAATTGATGTTTCCATTGGAAAAGTTTCACAAACTCAGTTTGCTGCCTTACAGCTCTTTGTTTTTACTTTTTCCTTTGCAAGATATGTTAATAGATTCTGATATGGATGTACTCAGTGACATCACAGTCAGCTCTGTCCATACCAGTGACCTTTCTTCCTTTGAAGAGGAGAGCGAAGAGGAGCCTGTAATTTCTGACAGTACTGAAGAGGGGGAGATCACATCAGGTGGTAAAATAATTACATTGTTAACTGGCAGTAAAGGAGTATGTAATGCTTTTGAAATGACCATGTCATTAATTTGAGGGTTTGCAGTATTGTACCTATCTATGAGAGAGACTTTGAATGTGAACTGGATAGTATTTGTGCAGTTTCAAAAGATGAGTAGTAGATTTATTTTTTTAATTTTTATGTTTTTATTCATATAATATAGTTTGGTGTGTTCTAAATGTTGTAAATCACTTTTTATGCTACCATATTTCACAGATGACAAAAGCATTTAATGGAGAATGCCTCTGTTCTGCAGGGTTTTTTGCCCTCTTGTCTGCCATGAATTTGGTATAACACTGGAGTGCTTTGTGATCCGGGGTAGTGGTTGTAGCTGACTTTGTAGATCAGATCGGATTTAGAGCTTTAAGATTCAGGAACTTGGCCACAGTCGAAAGAATAGGAATGGATCTAGATTTAAAAGTTCAGAAACACCAAGTCATTTCACTGACTGTGTTGCCTTCTTGTGTTCTACCTGTCTAGTACAGATTTCAGATTCTGATTTCTGCAGTTAATAAAACTTTCTACTTTATAATGCAGAATGCCTTAGTACCTGAATGAATTCTCTCTAGTATGCTCACAGCTTACCTTTTCTGTTCTAAAAATATAATTTAGAAGCACTGAATCATTTGTGAATTCTCTGGCTTTGAAACATGACAGATTGTGTTCAGTTATGACTAAATATTTATGAAATGAAAGCAAGCTTTAAGTATGTTTCAGGAATACAATTAATTTGTACAGTATTACTCTATTTATAGTAATCCTGATAAAACTGAAATAGATTTATTTATTTTTACTTGATTAATTCTAAGATGTGTCTAACCAACTGTGTGGTTTTTGTATGTATTTCAGTAAGCCAGCTGGTTTTTGTGTACTCATATACTGTACTGATATTTTTGGTGTGGGGGAGAATTAAAATTTAATACATAGTGAAAATTGCATTGACTTCTCATACATATCAAGCTACTAAATACTGTATGTAAAGGGGCAGTAGGACTACAGGCATATGAAGGGTAAGCCTCTTGTTGTGTGTCCTCAGTTTTAGTGTACTGGTTTATTACCAGGTTTGTGTCATGCAATTTTTTTGGCTGAATGATGTACATGAATACATCAATGCACTTTCAGTTCTTTCATAATATTGTTATATTTTGATGCTAAAAGGATTTAATTTTCTTAACTGTTTATGATTTTAGAGTAAATAATTGTTGATACATTTTGAGTAGCTTTGCCTTCTTACAAGTTATATTTAAAGCACTGCCCAAATTTATGAATCTATCTCTACGCCCACCAACCTTTCTTTAGATGAAGAGGAGAAAAACAGTCAAAGTAAGACAAAGCCCCATGCGAACGAGCTGAGTGATGGGAAAGCCAAGCCTGTGCGCCACGCTTATGTTCGCAAGCCTTTCCTATACTCCAAATACTTCAGTGATTCTGATGATGAAAAAACTGTAGAACAGCGCCGTCAGTCCATTGTAAGTGTGGATTTTGCTACTGCTCACATCCTGGCTCCAAAACTTTTTAGAGCACAAATTCCACTTCTGGTTTGGTGGTGGTTTGTGCAAGGTTGGGGGTCTTCAGTTTTTTCTCCCTTCAGGGTTTTTTTCCCCTTGTATTACAGCTGCCCTTTCTTCAGGATGGCATGATCTGCTCTCTAGCACAGCACTCTGCTCTGCTTGTTACAGTCTGAGGGCTTCTGGCAGTGAAAGCAATGACAGTTTTCTGTTTTCTTCCTCTTGCCCTAAAATACAGTGACAATTTGGATGAAAAAAGTAGCCCATATCTACTTGCAGCCTACCATCACTGGGATCTTTCAGCAGATCAGGCTTGTGTTGAGTACTTCAGGCTACCTCATTACCCCAACTCTTTACAAATGTAGTCCTTGCTGACCATGAAATCAGTAGTTTATAGCAAGTCTGCAGTCACTGAGAATGGAAACAAGAGATTTGAGCATGTGCACTGTTCTTTGGCAAAAGGGCCAGCACAGAGAAGAGGGAGTAGAAGTTCTTTTAAATTTTTTCCCTTGGCCAGATACATATATTTATAGTTAGACATATAAAAAATATGTATATGTTGTATATACATACAAATAAAACATACGTTCTTTGAGAAGGTTACATAGCTTCAGTCTGCAGTGTTGAGCAGCAAGGGAATTCTGGAACTCGGCTAATTTAACTTCCCAAAAATATTAGAGGATTCCATTAACTTTTATTTGATTTCTAAGGTGTATTTATGTTTTAGTTTGCCTTTAAGCTACATTGTTCTGTTTTCTATGGGGTTTAGACTTACATTTGTAGTCAGAGTGCCTTTTGAACTAATGATAAATTGTTGTCCTTGGTTTTGTATCTCTAGGCCAAAGAAAAAGAAGAGAGACTCCTTAGAAGACGAATTAACAGAGAGAGACTTGAAGAAAAACGTAAACAGAAGGCTGCAGAAAAGACAAAATCCCTAAAAACTGGAAATCAGAATGCTAAAGGTATGATAAGAAAAGCTGGGAGTACCCCACACCACTCTGCTCTCACTTACTCCCCATAGAATAAAACATTCAGCTTTGAATAATGCTCATGCAGATCTGTAGTTGTGTCCTTCCCTTAATAATTCAACAGTGATGTAAGAGAAAAAATTATAATGCAAAGTATTAATTCTTCACTTTTTCATATATCCATTACACTCCTTAAGCTCAATTAGTACCTAACTGCTATTCTCTGCTACACCTTAGTACTCTCTTACTGCTTTCTGTCATGTTTATAGCTGAAATACTAATGTGTATTTCATCATTTGTGTGTTATTTTAGGAAAAAGTGGCTTGCATTTAGAAGAACCTTCATCAAAAAGTCTTGAGTCAAAAACTACTGGTACCAGCATTAAGGATGTGCTTAAAGAACAGAAATTTTTGGAAAAAAAGGTGGCCCTGAGCAGAAAAAGGAAAAGAGATTCAAGGTATTTATGTATTTGCTCAAAAGGACTTAATGTTTTGAATACTCATTTTTGCAGATTGGAAAGGTTCTTTTCAACTTTGTACTTAGCCTTATACATTTAAACAATTTTTTCTTAGAAAATTTGCATAATATTGTTACTAATGAACATGAAATTCAGGCAGAAGGATTACAGCTGGTTAAATATGTTGCAGCTCAAACTGCAGTACCAGTCTTTGTGGCTTTTCATAGAATGGTAATAAAGGCGTGAAAATGGAAAGCTTTTACATGTTAGTGCATCCAATAGGCAAGTCATCTTCATCTTTAGATTGATGTTTTGTGTAGCTACGTACCTGTGTGCATAACTGTCTACATGGAGGTGAACATGGGGCAAGGAGAACTCTTACCCATTTTACAGGGACAACAACAGTACTAATGTCATACTGCTTAAAAGCACTGGTATTCAGCGTGTTTTTGAAACTGATATATATATATATATATATATAAAATTTTACAAGAGAAAAAAGCCTGGGCAAATTGGTTAGTCAGAAGTTGACGATCATGTTCTGTTTCTGTATTTTTAGTGGGCATTTCTCTCGTGTTCAGCTTTGAAAGCAAAAAGTTTACAAAGTTATGTTAAGCTGGTACCAATTGTTCTTTGTTAAATTGTCCAAATACCTGTTTCAGGCATGCTGAAGATAGCTGCAGAAAGAAAAATGAGCCATCTGAAGAAGATTCTAAAGAAATGCAAAAGACAAATGAGGTAGGTGTTTCTTAAGTATAAATCTTGTGGTCTTCCTTTTAATTCTGATAGTACTCTTCCATGTGTCCACACCAAACTGCATATAATTGCATTTGTTCTCACTGTTAAGTTTTTCCCTGCCTGTTGTTTCAGTTGTATTAGTGATCTGACATCATTGTAGTAATGTTTTCTGAATTTCAGTAGCCACTGAAGTATGGTCTGTGTATTCAGTGCTGACACAGTTTGAGCCCTAATCTGTGAGGTTTTTGACAAGAGTGGTGTCTTTATATGCAAAGACTTGAACTTGATGTGTTTAAACCTTACACTGGAAACTTAAAGGAAAACTGACTGTGCTCCAAACACAAAAGGAAAAAAAAAATTTATAGGGAGAATTTTATGAATAACTTTTAATTGTTTAAATTCAAAAAGATGTGAGTGGAAGTTCTAGTAGAAGTCTAGATGTATCTTTTTTAGGTTTTGGTGTGTTGTTTAGTTCCAGATTTGTACTTGTATTTGTGATTGTTTGGTCAAAAGCCTTTTTTAAGTCATTTTAGAAAAAATGCTGTATGAAAAAAAGATAATAAAGTTCAGACAGCTTAAGCATAACTTCTGCTTTAGATTTTTCCACTATAGCAGACAGCTGAAATGAAAATGGCAATTTTCATTTCCTGACTATATTTTAGATTAATTTTTATTACAATGGTAAGTGTATTCCTTAGTGTATTGGGTTTTTTCAAGAATTTGTGCTTGACAGTTCTGTTCAGGCACATAAGTGAAGGAAATGTGTAATATGTACTTCTAAACAGCTTAGAAGACTTTCAGACTGGGGGCATTCAGCTGAGGAAAGCAAAAGTGATGCTAAAGCAGAAAAAGAGCATAAAAGAAAAACATCCACTTCTCTTCAGGCTGAAGGAGCTCAGCAGGACAGTGAAACAAGGGATCCAAAAAAACAACTGGATAAAGCAGAAGTCAATACTGAAGAGCCACAGAAGCAGAAATCCATATCTAAGAATGAAAAACACCCCAAAAAAGATACTGACACAGAAGTTCAACATATGAGAAATTCTGCCAAAAAAGAAGCCAAGTCTTACAGAGATAAGAATGAAAAGGAAAGAACAGCTTTAGAAGATAAAATTTATTTAAAGCACAAATATAAAGGAGATGGTATTCACAAGTCAGGTGAAGATGGTGAACTTCATTCATTTGAGCGAAGTTTGAAAGGAGAGGATGGTGGCCAGAAACATAATCAACAAATAAAGGTTTCCTCAGATGACAAAGGTGAAAAAAAAAGTAAACACCGAAGTGAACGGAAAGTATCGGTAACAGGAAAAGATGGGAAAAACCCTTCTGAATCAACCTTAAAAGCTGAAGAATTGCTGCGGAAAGAAAGCAAGAAAGACAGACATCTCTCAACAGACAAACCAAGAGCAGAATGCAAGACCAAAAGGTCCTTGAGTGATTCTAAGACACAGAAGGATTCCCTAAGTGCCTCAAAACAACCTGGTTCAGCATCACACAGAAGGAGCGAAAGCTACTCAGAAGATAAACATGAAATAGAGTCAACTAACTCTGATAGTAATGTAAAACTTGAAGATGGTGTTCATAAAGATAGACGAAGATCTAAGAGCCTTGCAGAAGACAAGATTTTGTTAAAATCCAAGTCAAAGAGTCACAGTAAGCAGTTCAAAGCATCTGAAACAGAACAGGAATCAACAAAACAAGACACTGGACAGAAACTAGACAAAGAAAAGAGCCTGGAAGACAATGATTCAGATAAACAACATAAATCCAGGAATGAAAATAAAGGTTTGGAGGAGAGTGGTGCTGAGTTACAGCTTGCCAGTGGCCCACAGTCAACTCAGGGATCACAAAAAGACTTTAGTCACAGAGTAAAGTTACATTCTGGGGTAAAAGGGGCTGTAAAAGAGAAATACAGAGGTGATAAAGATTTAAGTAATTCCAAACTAGAAAGAAGGTTCTCTGCTGAAGGTCATAAAAGCAGAAACTTAAAGCACAGCAACAAGGAAATAAAGAAGAAGGAAGAGAGCATCAAATTGGAAGATAAAGATACTAAAGAAATGGACAGTGGGCATGAAAGATCTAATGTCACAATGTCAGTGGAGAAAAAACAAAGCAAGAGAGTATCCTGTGAAAATAGAAAAGGCAGTATATCAAATCAAGATTTGCTTAAGGAGGAAAAGCAATCAGCTAGCATAACTGAAAGCAGCCAGGTTCCAGCCCCTCAAAAGGCAACTATGAATAATGATGGCTTGCATGCTGGTCATGAAGAAGAGCTAATGGAACTTGATTTGAAAAAAACAAAAGTACAGGAAGCATCTAACATTAATGGAAAAAACATTCAAAACTCTCTCCAAGCCACAGATGCCAAGTGTGCAGTAAAACAGAAGGGATCTCGTTCTATTTCAAATAAGGAATTAAAACACAGCTTGGCAGATCCTGAAGCCCGTGAATCACAGTTTCTGCCTGCAGCTGAAAAAACTGTTGAGCAAGGTTATATTTCTAATAAACAAGTTGGTGCCTTAGACCCTTTGTCCAAAAAAGCTTCCATGGCTCAAGGACCCAGTAAACAAGGGGCTTGTAAAACGAGTACTGTGTATGAAACAAGTGGTAGAACCTTAAAGAATATATCCACTAAGGATCAGGCTTCAAAAGAGAGCAGAAGACCAAAGAATTTTAAGACTGTGATAAATTCTAATTCAGATGATGTTCCTTTAGCAATTCATTCCTCAAGAGAAGATGCTGCTGATGCAAAGTCCATGGATACAGATATCTCGGATTTTACAGATTCTTTAGGTACCGTGTCTAAAGAATGTCACAATTCAGATGGGACATCTTTATTGGAAGATGCTGTCCTTTTGAAGAATGATACAGCACAGGTTGTATACATGGAGCAAGATAGTGCAGTGCCGAGTTCTGTCATGAAAGATGATGGTGACAACACCATCATGGCAAACAGTATGGAAAAAGTTAATGAGGTGTCCCAGCCTGATGAACAGGCAATGGAAGACAGTACAGCTGGGTTATGTAGGCGGCTAGATTACAATGAAGCAGCAAAGTCAGAAAGATCTCAATACAGAGAGTTAAAAAGAAAAGAGGAAAACTCAGTAGCTGAAGATCATGGAGAGGTAACAACACAAGAACTTACCCTAAGAAGAAAAGAAAAAGAGTGCTTGAATATAGATCCTTCCACAAGGGCAGAAAGAAGCACCATGAAGGATAGTGTGGAAAAGAACAGGTTGCATGACACTGATGATATGATCCAGTCTTCCTCTGTTTTAGTGCCTGAAGGAGTTCCTGAGGAAAGTTTTAAAGGCTCTGTTACAGCCGATGGCCAAGAAGAGGCTAATGTGGTTGGCATGGAAGACAAAAATGAAAGTAATGCTGTAGGTACCAGTGCAGGAAGTAGTAAACTTAGTTCATTGTATAGCAGCCCGCAAAAAACTCCAGCCAGCATGATAGGAACTAGCACAGAAAAGATCACTGAGAGCACTGCAATGGCAACTAGTACAGAAGGAGGGAGAGCTGAGGGTACATCACATACTGGAAAGGACAGTGATGCTACAACCACTTGCTCAGAAGAAGAAAGTGAGGTGACAGTAATCTGCACAAGCATAGAAGCTGATGAGGGTTTCACAACAGGCACGTGGGTGAAACATGGTGAGGGCTGCAGTTTTATCACAGGAGCAGATATTGGTGACTGTACTGTTGCAGCAGCTGAAGAAAGTGGTGGCAGTGTTGTCACTGAAGGATTAGCAGAAAGTGAAAGCTTCCTAACAAGTACAGGAGAAGAAAATGGTGACTGTACCATGGTTGATGCAGAAGAAGGTGGTAAGGATTCAGTGAACCCCAGTGAAGTGGAAATTGAAGACAGTGTGAATAGTGCTGGGACAGAAGAAAAAGATGATGCTGTGACTAGTGCAGGCTCTGAAGAAAAGCAAAATACCTCAACTTGTGTAGATACAGGCAAATTTGAAAGTTCTGTGTCCTGCTTAGGTGAAATGGAGAGCGATGGAGCTGTAACCAGTGCAGGGACAGAAACAGGTGAAGGGTCTACCAGTGGTGATAATTTAGGTGAATTTAGGGGCAGTGTGACAGCTGGCCAGGTAAAAGAACATGAAGGTACTGTGACTTGCACAGGTGCAGAAGAAAGAGGTCATAACTTCATTATCTGCTCTGTGACTGGTACAGATTCCCAAGGAGAAAACACGGTAACTGGTGCATGTATTGCAGTGGTCACAAACAACAGTGCCACGGCTGGAACTAGTGGTGACAAATCTGAGGATACTGTAAATGGTGAAAGTGCAGTGACCAGCACAGGTATAACCCCAGAAGATGATGCTGAAATTTCAGCAGTCTGCACAGGGCTAGAAGACAGCAATGAGGGATTTGTAGTTTGTTTGGAAGCTGAAAAATGTGAAAGTCTAATGGACAGTACGAGGGCAAAGGAAGAAGCCAGTATCACTACAGTCAGTGTAGGTCTGTGTGATGATGAAGGTTTTGTGACTAGTACAGGCTCAAAAGAAGAGGATGAAGAAGGTGAGGACATTGTGACAAGTACAGGAAGAGGAAATGAGGAAAATGAGCATGCTTCTACTTGTACAGGAGTGGAAAGTGAAAGTGCACTAATTTGTATAGGTGCAGAAGAAGGTGAAAGTTCCATTATCTGCATTGTTGCTGAACAAATGGAAGCTGAGTCAGGAGTGGCTGGCACAGATACAAATAAGCTTACTGTTGACAGTATGACAAGTGCAGAGAAAGAAGCTAATTGTGGCACAGACTGCAAAAATGATAAAGGCATTGTTGAAAGCAGTGTGACCAGTGCAAGTGCTGCGGATGAGGGTGCCTTAGCTGCACAGACAGGAAAGCATGAAGGTACCTTGCTTCCCTCAGATGCTGAGGAATGTGAGCGTCCCATGACTAGTGCTATGGCAGTGCAGGATAAGACACTGTTTGATGCTGAAGACAAGCATGAGAATGCCATGACTTCCTTTGATAGCAGAGAACTTGATGCCTCTATAAGTAGTGCAGTTCCAAAGAAAGATGAGACTTCTCTTACTCCTGCTGACAGAGAAGTAAAAGTAAAAGGTGATGTCATCTCTACCAGCACAATGGAAGATGCTCCTTTGCATTCAGCCACAGATGCTGAAGAAGGTCCACTTGCTGTTGCAAGACTAAATGAAAGTGGGGAAAGCTCTATGATCGTAATAGACACTGAAGACACAGTGCCTATGCCCAGCACAGCTGCAGAGTTTAAAGAGTGTGTGAATACTTCTAGCAGTAAGCAGGAGAAAGATGAGTGCACTATGATTTCCACAAGTATTGTGGAGGAATTTGAGGCTCCTATGTCAAGTGCAGCTATTGAATATGATGGTCAGCTCCCATCTGTGAAAACAGAGGAAAGAAATGACAATGCTATGGTGTCTGTAGATATGGAAGTATATGAGGTTCCCATGCCTAGTGAGTCCAGCACAGGAGGAGATGATAACGGTGATGATGGAAGTCGCCCAACTGCTAGTGGTAAGGAAGAAAAGGATGAGTGTGCTATGATTTCCACAAGTGTTGTGGAAGAACAAGTAATCCTAATGTCAAGTGAAGTCACAGAAGAGGTGATTCAACGTATCTCAGACACAGAGTCAAAAAATGAAACGCTAATGATCTCTACAAGTACAGCAGAATGTTTTGAAGCTCCTATGTCTAGTGTAACTATGCAAGATGAAAACAAACTCACTGCTTCAGAAACAGAAGGAAGATATGAAGCTGCTATGATCACTACAAGCATGACAGAAGAATGTGAGATAGTCCTGATCAGTGCAACACCGCAAGCTGAAAGTCAGCTCATTGTAGCTGGAGAGGAAGGTGCCATTCTCTCTCCAAATGCATCAGAGGAATGTAGGGTGGTGGAGACCACTGCAACTGTAGATGAACAGTTTGGACTAACTGCTTTCAGTGCAGATGGGAAAAGCAAAGGTTCTGTGATTTTTGTGGAAGAATGTGGAGCTCCTGTGCTGAGAGTTGCAACTGACAGTGAAGATCAGCACACTGCTTCAAATATAGCAGATAAGGAGGAGGAGGGGGCAGTGATCACTCTGAGCACAATGGAAGAATGTGATAGTCTCTTCACCTTTACAGTCATAGAAGAAAGTCAACTTGCTGCTGAGAGTACAGAAGTAAAAGGCAAAAGTGAAGAAATTTTTAATACTGCTAACCAGATTGAATGCATCCTTTCAACTACAGCCCCAGAAAAAAGCGGGAATTCTTTGCTTATTGATAGAGAGAACGAGACACATGAGAGTGGGGTGAGAACAGAATCGGCAGCATCTCAGGCCACAGTAGACAGTGAAATCACAGAAACAGATGAAAATGCAGTGAACCTCATGAGTGTTGATGAGGCTGTTTGTGTGGAGATTAGTACAGAGACTGCTGAGAGTCCTTCCCCAGAGGCAGGTGAGGACGATGAGCAAGCTGAAGATGTTCTGCATGAGGATGTTACATCGGAACTCTCTAGTACCATTTCAGAAGCAGTGGGAGAGAGTGAAGCTGTAAAGAATGTAAACTACAAATTAAATTCAAACGTGCTTTTAGAAAGTGACTTTTCTGAAATAAGGACTCCCCTGCCTAAGACACAGGCTCCTTCCTTGGTTTCTGCCAATGAAGTGGCTGTAAACACCAACTGTGGTGATGTAACAATAGAAGCAGAACTAGGGAAAAAAAGGGACCTCACTTTGTTGCATGTAGAAACGCTACATGATAGTGATGACAAAACCAACTTGATCAAAACAGATGATACTGGCATTGAAGTTACTTTTCAGAAAAGTAATACAACCTTTAATTCAGGTGAGGATTTCTTTATTTTTTTTATTTTTTTTAATTCTTCAGTTTATAAGTTGTCATAAACAGATTCATTTTACCATTATAGTTAGAAAAAATTCCTACTGTTCAAATATACCTCACTTCTTCATTAGTTGCAAAATGACTATTAATGCACTTAAGAATTGGTGACATAAAGAAGCATGTGATTCTGGACAAATAAACAACTGAGCCACAATTACCTGATTTGTGTTGGAAAACAAATAGTAGAGTGCAAAAAATTTCTAAAAAACATTGACTTAAAGTTGTCAGCTGATAAATAAAGTTATTTGCAAGGGGCAATTATTGTGGAGGTACACATGGGTTTTGTTATTAATATGTTACGAGATTCAAAAAGGTTTTTTATTAAAGAAGATGCATTTCATTTTGACATATGTTCATCATTTTAGAAAGGTAACTTCATAGTGATTTTTAAGGTTAAGATTGGTCATCCTTAATCATAACTACACATTTTCTCTGGGCCATTATTTAGTGGTTACATTCAGATTCACTGTATTACACTTAATTTTGTCTTGTGAATACACTTGAAATGATTCTGCTTTGTGTTACAAAGGACTCAGCCAGTCATCCTAAATAAGTATTTTAAGTGAGCGGTAGATGACTATTTTAAATAGTGCATGATTGTATATGATATTAAGGGTATCATATTCTATATTCAGATCTATTTTTTACACTAACATTTGAAGTGAATCTGCATGGTTGCTGGTTCCTAAAATACAGTGTAATGAACATTTTACTATTTTTGACCTTTTATCTCTTTGACCCTCTGAAGTAGCTAAAGCACTAATTTTTTTTAAATTTATGACTTGTGTAGATGCTCTAATGAAGTCAATTGTCATTGTGACATTCATTACATTCATTGTAAATTTTGGGGAAATTAAACTGTAGAAAAATATATTTATGCCAGAGGAAGTGGAATGATGCTGATCAAGTACTATTTTTAAAGTATTTTCCTTTTCTTGTCTGTCTTTGCTATAATTTCAAAAATCATTTTATAATGTGGGTTTAGGTCCAGTTTCTCAAAGACTGGCTTTATTCTCTAGTTTTATTGACATTTTGGTTGAGAAGGCTGTCTCTGCAAATTTTGGCATTTTAGGAATTTTTCTTGGAAAGGTGCTGGTTTAGTAAGCTTGAAAAATGTTATTTGCTGTTTATGTAAGAGGCAAATAAGCCATGAAAGTATAAAATGCTGTACAGTGGAGTATTCCTTTCTCAGTGCTTGCCTCAATCCTTGTTGTCCATTGATTTAGCTTTTGTAAATGGTAATGGTATTTATTGTCTGAACTTCAACCATAATTTAATCACTTCACATGCATTATTGGTAAATTATCATGTCGTAACTATTTCTTTTTGTTTAGGTAAAGCTGTCTAAACAGACTTCTGAAATAGGTTTCCAAAAATGCTGTACAAGTGACGTAATAACCTTAATATTAACTCTTAGCCCTGCATTTATTAATACAGGAGGTAGTTTGCTGTTTGGAATTTGATCTGAAAAATCTGTGGATGGTTTCTTTTTGAAGGAAAAGCAAGAAGAAAAAACCAAAGTTAGAATTCATAAACAAGCAAGGGAAAAAAACCAAAGTCAGAATTCATAAGTAAGCTGTGGTAAATCCTGATGCCCGATATTTTCCAAGCCTTTTGTGCTTAAGGAAAACAGCAGTACTTGTGTTCTTGCAGATGCCAAGTTTGGGTTTTATTGAGCTGGTTTGCTGTAAACAGACTGGCTATTGTTTCTGCTGTCCATGGGAAAGGTTTAAATTCATGTGCTGTATTCATGAGGTAGTACTGAGACATAACATTCTACTGTAGCATGAGATAAATGCATAATGTAATCTGATAATTTTAATATATTTGTATTCCATTAGGCAATAATGCAGTCTTACCAAAGTTGGCAGAAGAAGTAGAAAGTACCTTGAGAACTGACAAGGTATTTATATTATTTTGAATTTTTTACTGCACTGTTTCTTGCTTATTCATATATCTTGCTAGGGTTTCTTCCTGTACCTTTTGATTTTTGTGCAGCAAAAATGGAGATTTAAAAATTTAAACTGGAGAACTTTGAAAGAGTAATTTTTCAGATTATTCAGCTGTAGTTTTCTGAGCAGCTGGCTTTTAAATTGTGGACTGTCCATGTTATTCTTTGTTAGCAATAATTCCCTTCTTTAGCCCTACTCCTTCTGTGACTGAGACATTTAAGTTTGTTTTTTTAAAAATTGGTCATACTGTGTGCATGTTCCTTGATAGTGCTTGTAAAATAGTCACCCACACCCCAATCTTAGACTTGGCAAATTTTGGTTTAGTCCTTTGTACCAGTAAAGAAACCCACACTGCTATGCATTGCATCACATCACTTCCTGGCCAGTCTTCTGACTCACACATCTGTGTGTGTTTGAGCAACACTTGCTGCTGTTGTGTTCTGATAACTACAGCCCTTTATCTGCTGTCACAGAAGAGTGGAGCACCCTGGATAATCCAGGGTGTTTGGGCTCATGGTCACCTATAGCTTGTGTAAGACCAAAGCTGAGTCTGTGTGCCTGGGCTGTGTTCCATAGTAGGCAGGATTCCACATGGTCTAATTCTTCATTCAGCTGCGGGACCGCATTCATGTATTTTGCCAAGCTCTGAGGATAGGTTTTTGAGGGATAACATGGTTCAGAAATTCAAGCATCTGTGAAAGGGTGGACTTCGGGAAAGTGGAAGTCAGCTTCAGTCTGGTGGGAATTCCTGATAATTCCACCTGCAAACAGCTGCATTGTTTACCAGCATAACATAGTTCTAGAGTCAGTACAGCCATAATGTGGAACTGTAGCTGAGTTTACAATGTTCAGATCTGACTTAATACACTTAGCTCCATATAGCATTATTTATGCAATGGTAATGTTGAGCTGACCTGCAGCTTCTTTTTTTTAAAGAGAAAAAAGCAAGCAAATCCAAAAAATCCACTCAAAACACAAGTTGAAGGAAGATCATTGAACCTCATTATACAGAGCAGATCCCTTTTTCCTTGTATAGATGAACATTTCTAGGCTGCAGCTTGTATTTGGAGCTTTGAGTTGGTGTTGCACCTTGAATTTATGAAATCTGCTTTTTTCAGCTAATCTCTGGTACTAAAGTTAAGTCTAAGGTCAAATCTAAATAGTGTACTGTTGAACTTAGCTCTGTTCCTTCTTAATATATGTACTGATGCCTTACTAAGAAAGCTTTTGAACACTTTTATAGTTCATGATAAGACAGTGTTCATCATGACATGAAGGAATAGAGTGAGATAAACTTGTTCTGAATATCTGCAATATTTGTTTCTTTTGATTTTGTGTTTAGTCACAACAGCCTGAAAGTGCAAGAAGTGAAGAGGGATGTGTGGATCTTCAAACTACAGAATTGCAAAAAGGTGATTTTTATAGTGATAGCAACTTGCTTTCATGTTGAAGGGACTGAAGGGACTATATACTTATGATGGGAGGGCTGCAGATTTTTTTATATATGACGTACAAAGGAATTGAAGAAAGCCTTCAGAAATCTTTAAATGTGCCTAGGAGTTCAGGGGGCCTTGAATTTGGTTTGTAGGAAAGGAAGGTCAGACTTTTCTTTCAACATGATATGCTGAAAGTAGTAAAGGATTTTAAAATTTGAGATTTAAAAAAAAGGTAGACTGCTAATATTCTACTTAAAAACAATAAATAAAAACTTTTGTGCAGGAAAAATACGGGAACTTCCCCAAGGAATGGCTTTCTTCCTTATGGGTTCAGAACATTCTGGTTTTAGGTTGCTGTGACAGGCCTTGTGAGGATATGAAAAGAAGTACTATATGACAAGTCACAGAGACATTAGAGAAAATATTTGGGGTTTGTTGCCCTCTTACCCTTCAAAAGATTAAAATAATTGTGGCCATCCACTCAAATCTGAAGAGCAGTTATAAGTAGGTAATCATCTAGTTAGAAACCACAATTAGTCTGCTTGGATCTGCCCTCAGTAATCCCTTTTCCATGTACTTAAACTAATCTTCAGTAGGACCAAAACTAAAAAAGGATCCATCCAAATTATGCATTGCAATTGTTTGGCTTTCCTGTTAAAGCAGAAACAAAAGCCTGCTTTGTGCCTATCTTGATGGATTTTGTGCTCCAGATGCATTACAAAGATGTTTACACTACCAGACGAGAGCTAATCCTCAGTTATTGGAATAACAATCAGAACTAAAATGAATCCCAAGAGGTTCCAGTGTTACTGCTGCTTTTATTGTCCAGGGAGGTTAAAGATGCATTTCCCCTAACAGAAAGTTGCAGCTGAAAGCCTACATGCTATGATGGGACACACTGTTGAGTTCACGTCTAAATTTTCAGACATACCAAATAGAAAACAAAAACAGCAGTAATGTCAGATGTGAGCATTGGCATAAAACTTTGGAATTCTCTTTTTATTCTCAGGGCAGGTCAGATTCAGATACCTGGTTATAAGATGGTGTGTATTCAGCTGAGTGGTAAGCGACATGCTCTGCTCACAAGAAAGCAAATGTAAACCCTGAGAATTGATTAGAAGAATGTAGACTTCAGAACAGCAGATCTAAAATTTGAACAGGTTTTTCTGTACTGTGAGGTTTCTTTGAAGAGTCTTTAGAACTCTGCCACTTCCCATCACCCAATCACCCAGACAGACAGTACTTAAAATGTTAAATGTGCAGATTGAACTAGCTGAGATAATCTTGTTTCTTGTAAAATGTTTAACAAAGGTCCATTTGTTGTGTAAATCATGTTGGATATGACATACTGAAGACTAATGCTTTGTAGATCTTGGTAGAGAGGTTTTTTCTCCCCCACAATAATCTCTTATATGTATATAAGCATGCATATATATATATATATATACTGCTCAACATGCGTAAAAGGAAGTTGTTTAAAAGACAAATGTGTGTCCTGTCATGAGTATGAACAGCAGACACAGTAGTTTAGTAGTCCAAGATTCTTTGGAATGTAAACAAATCATTGCTGTTTGAGTGGGTAGGAACTAGCTCTTCATTTGACACTGCTTTAAAAATTGAAAGATGTGCAACTCAGCAGTATAGCTGTGGAAGAATTGTTGCTAAAACATGGAGATTTAAGAAACAAGCTACAAAAGAGATAAAACTGTATGTTAAAAAAAAACAACAGGGGGTTTATTTGATTTTAGGTTTGTTTTTGCTGTAGCTGGAGGGAAAGTTGCTTGGAATGTTTTAGCTTAGAATGTTTTTAAATCAAGGTATTAATTTGGTGCTTTTGTGAATCAGATTTAAAGAATACTCAGTAGAGCAGCTTCTTTATAATTCTCTTTGTGCATTGAAAGTTACAGAATTCTTTAAAAACTCCAGACCACCCATCAGATCTCATAATTCTTTTCCCTATTTTTGTGATATGGAAGGCTGAGGCTCTAGTTCATCAGAGTTATAGTAGAGTTTAGCAACTGGACAGTTTCCTTATGTGCATTCTGTCAGCTTCAATTACACAATTATGCAAACTTTAGTTCTTTAGGAAGCATCATGTAGCTTTATCACATTTTACTTCATCCCGTGATCCAGTATCTAAGATTGTGATGGAAGAAATTCTGATTCAAATGATAGAATTATATTTGAACCATCAAAGTCGCTATAAATTTCAAAGATAACAGCCCCTTCATTGCCTTATTTCAACCATAAAGTGATTTTCAGTTATCCTGTGCTCAGAGATTCATATTCATGTTTAGTTGTATGGGTATATTGTTAAAGAGAGGATTGGATGTCTCTTACTTGCAACGTTGGAAGTAAGTTTTACATAGTTTCAGGTTCACTGGAATCCTTTCAGGGAGGTGAAGTAGAGGATACTGTGATACTTTGTGCTTGCTTAACTTTTCTAATTGTGTTAAAATTATTTTTAATAGATGTGCTGCACAGGAATATTCCTTTAGAAAGAGAAACTTCTCATGTAAGTACTTGCTTTTTAGATTTATTCTCTAAATCTGTGCTGCTTTTCTCATACTTGAATTTACTTCTATTTACATTAAATACTCTCTAAATGAAAATACTATTTTTGTATATGCAGTGCCTATGTTTGTTGAGACTCTGCAGCTGTATAGGTTTATGTCTAATTATTCTTTCAAATCTATCAGTGAATAAATCTTGTATTGTTGTTCCACAGTCTGACTATTTCAAGACTGTTAAAAGAAAAGAGAAGTTTGATCTCCATGAAAGTAGAGGAATGTTAAAAGAAAAGAAAAGTTTGATCTCCATGAAAGTAGAGGAAAATAATAGGGATTATTCTTGGAGGTTTTGATCACAAATAGAAACCTATTTTAATGCAGCATGCTGTCTTTCACAAGAACTTATAAGAGGGGTAACACTTGCAAACTTGGAAATGTAAAGTGTATCTTATGGAACAAAATCAAGACATTTAATAAATAGCAGGCTGAAATGGTGTTTGTGGTTGCTTAAACTTGGGTAATAAATTTATTTATTAGTATACTGAAATGCTGGCTGGCCACATTTCTGGTGCTAATGAGATAATTGTATTGTTCTTGCATGTAGGAGAATGTACTTCAAATCCAGAAATACTCTGTCTGATTTACTGTGATGAGCTACTTTTAAAACATATAGTAGGGTGCTTAATTCTGAGTCTTTTCTCAATACAAATATCAGTCAAAAATTCTGAAAATATTCCAAGTTTGAAGTTTTTTGATTCTGCTGTTCTGTAGTAGGATGGTTACTTGAGTTCTAGGAATAAATTCCTTTTGTCACGGCTGTTTTCCATTTTAATGTATGTTGTACTTGGAAGTAGCAAGTAGGGAAAAGTTTCTCCCTTCCGTGTTTATAAACTTAATGGAAAAAAAAAATTCTCTTTCTCTGTGTTTTGTGTGTAGGTGGAAAACTTGGCTGTCCAGACAGCTGAAGAAGTTAGATCTAGAGGAATAGAGTGTAAATCTTCAGAAACAACGGATAAAGAAAAACGTAAGTGATACAGAAGTACACAAATTTGTGCAAAGCTTCTCTGTGGCAAAACCAGTTTCTACTGTGGTTAGGCCATAAAAAGGTATGTTTGAGAAAAAATAGGGGAATAGGGGAAATTCCAAGCTCCAAAGCAATTTATATCCCTAAAACAACTTCTAATATTACAATTAATATATTTGATAAAATATTATAACAAATTTAATTAGTGCACAGAAGAACATTATCGTTTTT